TGCGTAGAAGTGGTAGGCTGATGCTGGTACAGCTTAAGAAGAGACCAAAGCGGGATGCTGAACATGTGGATTTAGGTGAAGAAAAGGATGATGGGTCCAAAGATGCTGATGATGTAGAGAAAGAGGATAAGGATGACGATGAGGTTATGGATTGTGCAGGAAATGATGCTGAAGATCCTGAGCATGAGGGTGATAGTTTTGATAGTGACGATGATTTTGAGGAACCCCCAAAGAAGAATATCAGTGTGGATATCCCTCAACCAGTGAATTCAAAAGTTGCAACAGTGGTGAAGAAAAGGAAGGACGGGCTTCGGAAGATGAAGGAAAAGTACATGAGGATAAAGACGAGATCTTAACCACATGTGTTGCAGGGAGTGTTGGATGCTCTGAATAACATCCAAAAGCAGGAGATAGAAAAGATTGGTTTCGGTTCTATTCTGAGGTTACGGTTGACCGAGCTCCCTGCCAAATTGGGGTATTGGGTGGTAAAGAATTTTAATCCAAGGAGCAGCACACTTGAGCTTCCAAAGCATGTCAGATTGCATATCAGCATAGAAGATGTTGAGCATGTGTTGGGCTTGCCGAGGGGAAATATTAAGATAAGTAACAAAGCAAGGAGTGAGAAATGTAGCTTGGTTGAGGAGTGGAGAACAGAATTTGGCAAGGATAATAGGATAACGCCGTTGGAGTTGGGTCAGAAGCTGTTGACATACGAGGAGGGTGGGGTGTGGTTTGTTCGCCATTTTGTGTTGTTGGTAGTGGCACTTCTCGTAGATACTCCAAGCCATGGTTACGTTAACCCTGCTGTGTTGAAGAACATAGCTAACATTGATTCAGTAGTGAGATTGAATTGGTGTGAATATGTGCACAGGATATTGATAGACAGTGCAATCAGATGGGAGGATGGAAAGAGTAAATACTTCACAAGACCATTGATGTTTCTAATGGTATGGTTCACATGCACTATACTAAATTTGTATACATACTTTATTGAATTTGTTTTGCATGTAGCTAATTTTTTCTCTACGTTGTAGGTTTTCTATGTTGATAGGGTGGTTCTTTACAATAGGGATGTGGAGAGGACAGCACCTGCTTTTGTTGGCTGGACATCAAAGATACTTAGGGATAGAGAGAATAAAGAAGTGAAGGCTGGTGGATTTGGTTTGGGATTTGACGATGGAAAGTATGTGTGTGTGAAATCTGTAGCTGAGGAAAACAACGCGGATGACAATGCAAAGGGGGCAGAAGGCATTGAGGTTCGAGGAGAGAAAGATTCTATTATGAGAGAAGGCACTCAGCAGACTGAGATGCGAGATGAGGATGGTGATGTCTTGAAGGTAGCAAGTTAGATGTTACAGTGAAAATGCACTGAACATGCCCTTTATTTTTATTGATAATACGCATACTTTCTTATATTATGATTCATTATGCATCAGGTTTTTCTTAAAAAGTTTGCAGAAAAGGGTAAGATGCTGGCAAAGACAGTCGTGGAGTTAGTGTCGTTAATGGAGGGTGCACCAGCTGAGGCGATGAAGAACGATGTTTATGTGGAATTGCAGATTGCTGCTGGAAGGTTACTGGGATTAGTGAATAAAAATCCAAAAGATGGTGTGCAGCCTGCGGAATGTGCATTTTCTGAAGTGTCTTATGATGAGTTCATTTGGAGCGATCCTTCAAATATCTCTAAGTTGGTTGCATCAGAGGAGGCAGAGTTGGCGAGGAGGAAGTTCAAGCAGATGGTGGCTGATATACCCTCCTTTAGCCTTGGCATCACACAGGATGGTGCCTTGCAAGGAGGTGGTGATCACCATGTGGTTGATGTTGGTAATTGCAGCAACA